ATAAAAGCTTAAGAAAGCTAGGAGTAGAAGGAAAGTACCTCAACATTATAAAGGCTATATATGACAAACATACAGCCACATCTTACTTAATGTTGAAAGAAAAACTGAAACCATTTCCCCTAAGATCAGGAACGAGACAAGGGTGCCTACTATCCCCATTCCTATTCAACACAGTACTGGAATTCCTAGACAGAGCAATTTGGGAAGAAGAAGAAATAAAAGGAAAGCAAATAAGGTAAAGAAACTGTCAAAATATCCCTGTTTGCAGACAATATGATCCTATACCTGAAAGACCCAAAAAACTCTACCCAAAAACTCCTAGATACCATAAACTGCTACAGCAAGGTGGCAGGATACAGAATCAACTTACAAAAATCTTTAGTGTTTGTATACACCAATAACGAACAAACTGAGAAAGAATATATGGAAACAATTCCATTTACAATAGCCTCAAAAAAATTAAATACCAAGGAGTAAACTTAACAAAGGATGTGAATGACTTCTACAAGGAGAGCTACAAACTGTGTAAGAGACAGAGGAAGACTACAGATGGTGGAGAGATCTCTGTGCTCATGGATTAGTAGAATCAACATAGCAAAAATGGCTATACTACCAAAAGCAATCTATATGTTTAATGCAATTCCCATCAAAATCCCAATGACATTAAATGAGACTGAAAAATCTACCCTAAAATTCATTTTAAACACAAGAAACCGAAAACAGCCAAAGCAATACTCAGCAAAAAGAGCAATGATGGAAGTATCACAATATCTGACTTTAAACTGTATTACAAAGCAATAGCAATAAAAACAGGATGGTACTGACACAAAACAGACATGAAGACCAGGGGAACAGAACAGAGGACCTGGATATGAATCCATACAACTATACCCACCTTATTTTTGACAAAGGCGCTCAAAATATACGATGGAGAAAAGACAGCCACTTCAACAAATGTTGTTGGGAAAAGTGGTTATCTGTCTGCAAAAAACTGAAACTAGATCCATGTTTATCACCCTGTACTGACATCAAGGACCTTAATGTTAGACCCAAAACTCTGAAGTTGGTACAGGAAAGAGCAGGAAACACTCTGGAAGTAATAGGTATAGGCAAGGACTTCCTCAGCAGAACTCCAGCAGCTCAGCAACTAAGAGAAAGGATGGACAAATGGTCTCTAAACTGAAGAGACCACCCTCAGAGTGGGAGAAAATATTTGCCAGCTACACATCAGACAAAGGACTGATAACCAGAATATATAGGGAACTTAAGAAACTAAATTCTCCAAACTAATGAACCAATAAAGAAATGGCAAGTGAACTAAACAGAACTTCCTCAAAAGAAGAAATTCAAATGGCCAAAAAACACATGAAAAAATGCTCACCATCTCTAGCCATAAAGGAAATGCAAATTAAAACCACACTAAGATTCCACCTCACCCCTGTTAAAATAGCCATCATTAGCAACACCACCAACAACAAGTGTTGGCGAGGATGCGGGGGAAAAAGGAACCCTCTTACACTGTTGGTGGGAATGTAAACTAGTACAACAACTCTGGAAAAAATTTGGAGGCTACTTAAAAAGCTAAACATTGATCTACCATTTGATCCAGCAATACCACTCTTGGGGATATACCCAAAGACTGTGACACAGGTTACTCCAGAGGCACCTGCACACCCATGTTTATTGCAGCACTATTCACAATAGCCAAGTTATGGAAACAGCCAAGATGCCCACCACTGACGAATGGATTAAGAAAATGTGGTATCTATACACAATGGAATTTTATGCAGCCATGAAGAAGAACGAAATGTTATCATTCGCTGGTAAATGGATGGAATTGGAGAACATCATTCTGAGTGAGGTTAGCCTGGCCCAAAAGACCAAAAATCATATGTTCTCCCTCATATGTGGACATTAGATCAAGGGCAAACACAACAAGGGATTGGACTTTGAGCACATGATAAAAGCGAGAGCACACAAGGGAGGGGTGAGGATAGGTAAGACACCTAAAAAATTAGCTAGCATTTGTTGCCCTTAACGCAGAGAAACTAAAGCAGATACCTTAAAAGCAACTGAGGCCAATAGGAAAAGGGGACCAGGAACTAGAGAAAAGGTTAGATCAAAAAGAATTAACCTAGAAGGTAACACACGCACAGGAAATTAATGTGAGTCAACTCCCTGTATAGCTATCCTTATCTCAACCAGCAAAAACCCTTGTTCCTTCCTATTATGCTTATACTCTCTCTACAACAAAATTAGAAATAAGGGCAAAATAGTTTCTGCTGGGTATTGAGGTGGGGGGGAGGGGAGGGCAGAGTGGGTGTAAGGGAGGGGTGGGGCAGGGGGAGAAATGACCAAGCCTTGTATGCACATATGAATAATAAAATAATAAGAAAAAAAAAAAAAAAAAACAAGAACAACAAATGTAAAAAAGGAAAAGCCTCTAACTGTGTGGAAAGCAATGCTAGTACAACCACTCTGAAAATTAAAATGGAGGCTTCTTAAAAATTAAAACATGGAGTCTTACCATTTGATCCAGGAATACCACTCCTGGGATATAACCTCAAGGGAATGTGACACAGGTTACTCCAGAAGCACACACACACCCACGTTTTATTGCCAGCACTATCACAATAGCCAAGTTAGGAAACAACAAGATGCCCCACTAACTTGATGAAATGGATTTAAGAAAATATGCGTATTTATACACATGGAATTTTACTCAGCCATGAAGAATGAAATCTTATCATTTGCAAGTAAAATGGATGGAGCTGGAAACATCATTCTGAGGCAAGGATTACCCAGGCTCAGAAAACCAAAAAATTGTATGTTCTTCCCTCATATGCAGACTTTAGATCTAGGGCAAATACAGAAGTGTTGGGTTGGACCTGGGGTCACATGATAAAGGGAAAGCACACACAGCTGGTATTGGATAGGTAAGAAACCAAAAAACATGAAAGTATTTGATGTCCCTCTGCAGAGGAAGTAATACAGAACCTTTAAAGCAGTAGAATTTCAATGAGAAGGGGATCAGGAACTAGTGAAACGTACATTTAGAGGATAATCAACTTGGGATGTAACACATTTGTTACATGGAAGCAATGTGAGGAATCTCTGTATAGCTATCCTTATGTCAACTAGCAAAAATGCTTTGTCTTTCTTATTAATGCTTATGCTTTCTCCTCAACAAAATTAGAGAAGGGCAGAACAGATTCTGCCTGGAAGCAAGGGCAGGTGGGGAGGTGGGGTTGGGTAGGGGGAGAAATGGCTCAAACAATGTATGCACATGTGAATAACTGAATAAAAAAAATTTTTTTCCTCCAGATCCCAAGCCTATTTTATACAAATTGAGGACTAGGATTTACAACTATACTGACAGACATGGTAGGTGCTAGCCTCATCTACATATCTACATGCCAATTTTTTGTTGTTGTTGTTTTTTGTTTTTTTGGTGATACTGGGATTTGAAGTCTGGGCTTCTTACTTACTAGGCAGGTACTCTACTTAAGCCATGCCCCCAGTCCTGTAATTTTTAATTTTTGAAAATTTAGACATTTCAATTCTTTCAACTAAAAAATTCACTTTCTCACACTAACCACATTTAAGTGCTCAACAGCCCTAATCTTTTTGACATTTAGCAAAACACCTGCAACTTAAAAATAAATTATTCATTTTGCAATACCAGAGATCAAACCTAGGGCCTTGTACATGACAGCATCTATCACTGAGCTATACGCCTAGGCTCTACTCCCAAGTAGACTATAAGTGTGTGTGCCATCATGCCTGGCAAAATAAGATTTTTACATGCTCTAATTGTGGGAACTTCACCTGCTCAGTGAATAGGGATCCCTCTATCCAAAGTCTCGAATGCCAGAGCATCTAACTGGCTTCCCACTCTGGGATAAGTGGGCCTGGAAATAGATCCCAAGGAGGAGGTCATAATTGGAAGGTCTGAAGAACTTTCCCAGGGTATCTAGCACCTCAAAGACTTACATCAAGCATCTGCAACAGATCCTAAGCTAAGAGAAATGTGAGAAGGTATATAAGAAGAAAATAAGAGCCACAAGCAGCTACAAGGCAATGTAAAGGAGTTAATCTGACAAAACAGCTTTGCAGCCAGGCATGTCAGTACACACCTGTACTTGGGTCACAGAGGCAGGAGGATTATGAGTTTGAGGCCAGCCTGGGCTACCTGAGACCCTGTCTCAAAAAACCATCTCAGTGGTAGAGTGTTTGCGTAGAATTTGGAAGGTCCTAGGTTCAATCCCCAGTGCAAAAAAAAAAAAATCACAAACATAAAAACAGCTTTGCAACTTACTGTACCTATACTTGTATGCATAATTTACTAAAAGACTGAATCATATACCTTAGGCAGTTTGCAACAATACTGATGTTCCCTGTGTGCTCTGCAATGATTCTTAGACAACTGTAGGAGGTCCAACTTAAACACCTATCAAATTGGCCCTGCTTCTGTTGTCTTATGATGGTAAAAAGAAATTTCATTTGGAACTATTATGGAATGGTGACTTTACTGTATAACTTCTTTCAGCATTAAATTCAAGCATACCATCTCTTATGCTTAATTCCACTTCTGGATAAAACCACTTCTGAAGGACTGGAAGCATGGCTCAAGTGATAGAGCACCTTTCTAGCAAGTTCAAACCTCAGCATTGTAAAAAAAAAAAAACAAAAAAAAAACCAACTTCTGAAAACCATTTTTTCCTAAGTTTGGCACAAACATAGGATGCTGACAAAAATATTTTTTTTGACAGAAACTTTTAGTTGACATTAGGACATTTATATTCTTTATTCTAGTAAATGACGTAGAAATACTGCTGTTCAGTCTACTGGGGCTCTTATGTGCTACAAAATATATGCATGCCCTACTGTATTTCTCAAGTCCAAAAATCTTCTGAATTCAAAAACACCTGTTCTCCAAACAAGTAACTAATTCATTCTAGCACACCTTTCCACTGACTAATGCAACAGAATATTCATCATATTTACAACTTTAAATAAACCTACCAGACAGATTCCATGAATTGTGGATACAGAGTTTTGTAGTCATTGTCAAAGTCAATCCATCGGCCAAGTCTTGTCACAGTAGACTTTAAAAGTATGAATATTAAAGCAGTATTAGGAAACAGTATTTATTATTGTCTACCATGTTTTACTACTATCACTACACATAATTTGAGAAATTACAACAATCAATTGTTCAAGTCAGCTTCTACTTCAAACAACTCACTATGCAAGATTAAAAGCCAGTTAGTTGTCTTGGCAGCCACCTATATACAAATACTATGATTTGTAAGTATAAATATTTATGTATGAAAGTTGACAAAACCACCATTTGACAAACACCAGAGAAATAACCTTTACTATCAAGAATCATCAGTCATGCTAAAATTATTGAAAGTAGCATATGAATATTTGCAAAGAATATGCCTTATGAGATACTTATTAATTACAAAGAAAAAGCTACAACTTTACAAGGAAAAACCTGACAGGTAGCACATTAATTAAGCAAATTATCATTAATGAGACATGCAACAACATATGCCTCATAACATGATACACTGAGAAGGGCACGACATCAATTTTGAGATATGCTTACCCAAAATGCATATCCTAAATTGAATCATGAGGAAATATTAGATATTGAGGGTCATTCCATAAAATAACTTGCCTGCATTCTTTAAGTGACAAGGTGGCAGCTGGGTATAGCTCAGTGGTTGAGTATTTGCTGAGCACACATCAGGCCCTGGATTCAATCCCCAGGAATACACACACCTACACCCACACACACCAACACACAGCAAGGTCAGAAAAGACAAGGAAGATTTTTTTCTTATGTTCTGTATGGAAAGAAAGTATGCAGAAGGGTGATCCTGGATTGGCTCTTGGAACAGAAATAAAATGAGTGGGACAAACTGGTGAAATTCAAATAAGATCTGCAATATTTTATCAACATTAATAAAAAGCAATAGCTTTTGCAATTATATATGTTACTGAAGATGTAAGCAATTGGAAAAGGTGGAAGAAAAATGTAGAGAAGTGTTTCAAACCATACTTGCAATTTTTTAATATATAAGAAACTATTTCAAAATGAAAGTTCAAACTTTTTTTTTCAAAGAGAAAAAAGAAAAGGCCTATATTCAGGCTTATACTCATACTAATCACGATTTTTCCCTACTAGTGATCAAGTAAGAAAGTTGAGGGAGAAATGAGCTCTCACTTTCATGTTGATGAAATCAAATCTTACATGCCAGTGAAGTGAAGCTACTCAAGGTTTATGGACAGAACAGCATGAGGAACAGTGTCATGAGAGAGAGAGTGTGGTAGCCTGAGTGGAAAAAGGAAGAAACTGATTAGAAGATTGTTTTAGAAAAGATGATGGTGAAGGACAGGCTAGAGAAAGGTTGTAGGAATGAAACAATGAGATACTGTGAAGAAAAACTCACTAGGATTTGGTGCCTGATGTGATCATGGTGATTAATGTTTAAAGACCAGAGAATATCCATTGGCAGACTAGGGAATTCTAAAGAAGAGTCAGTTTGAGTGGTTGAAGGTAAAGGCAGACATGCTTTTGTTATACAGACACACCAAGCTAGTCTAGGTGGCAGAGAGGAAACAGGGAGCTTTGTTCCCAAGCCCAGAAAAATAAGAGGGCAGGAATACTGCAGCTGTGGAGCTCTATTACTAAGTAGTGGGCAACAGAGAAGTCAAATTAATATAACAAAAAGAGGTCAATTTGAATTTTTAAAACTATGAATTGTTACACTGGACTATTTAAGTCTGTTTGCTAAGAACAGTGTTATTCTCATCACATACTGTGGGCAGGCAGGAGATTAAGTATGGAAGACCAATCAAGCACAAAGAAATTAGGAAAAATGAGGGTCTAGTTCAGGCTGACAGGGTTGGAGGTGGAAACTAAGGAGCCTGTCCAGGTACACATAACATAAAGAGGAGGGTCAATCCCTCTATGTCATGACCTCACATGGACAACCATACTTTTGAGAACATCTCATATAAAGCACAAAGGAGCATAAACTATTTCAATTCCCACTTAAAACCCAAACTTTCTGTTGATTCTACTGAAAACAACCCACATACCTTCCACTCACTAGAGTATCTCATCACAATTGTTCGGCACTGATTGTTATACTCTGCAATCCCAATTTTGGCTACATCCTCTGGTCCTCTGATTCCCAGCGTCTTATCAATTTCATATTCCTGAAAATTTGTGGTAAGATCATTAACATCCCTGCCTTATCAAACAGATACAATGAAACAACTCTAGAAAATAAAACAGCTTTAAAAAAACATTAGTTCTCAGAAAATCTACAGAGAAAATGAACTATAAATAATATTATGGAAATGAAGTAAAGGAAGTCTGACATAGTTAAAATCCATCATACATTAACACATTACATGATGAAATGTAATGCTTATAAAAATATCAGAACATTAGAAGGCTGGAGATTCAAACATACCACAGGTAAGCCATGGCAATCCCATCCAAATCTTCTGTCAACATGAAACCCACTCTGGTGAGCATATCTTGTAACTATATCTTTAATTGTTCCTGCAAGTATATGTCCATAGTGAGGCAGTCCAGTTGCAAAAGGAGGCCCATCATAAAAGGTAAATCTATCAGAAGTAATAAAAACAATTAAACTCATTTTAAAATAGCAAAAATTTAGGACAACATTTTTGTATAAATAGCTCTATCACAGTAATGTGTTTAAGGGAAGTGAAGCAGGAAGAGCAGGAAATTCAAACATAGTTAGATATTTACTGGAGGTCCTACCTTTAGAAAGACTGCTAGTTATGACAGAGCTGTGGAGATTGCCATTCTACTAACCATTTTTTATTTGTTATTTCCATGACATAAGGCAAGTTATTAATCCTAACCCTGAGTTATCTCATTAGTAAAACAGGGCAGTAGACATCTATCTCATAAAAGTTTTTAAGCAGAGAAGACATAATAAAAACAGTGATTAAAGGACTACACTTTTAGGTAAAGGGAGACTAGAGGCAGGAAGTTGTATGGAAGATATGTATGGAGTCTTACACTTAGGTATCAGTGCTAAGTGAGAGTGGAGATGATAGAGGTGGGAAAGAAGAGGGTGGTACAGAAACTCTATTCAGATGACCTCTTAAAACTGTCCTCATAACTAAAAACTCACACATTCAAAGTTTATCTGCTTCCAAATATCCATTATATAGAAAGCTGGGAGACTCTGGGAACACAATGATGAATAAAGGGTTCTGCTTTAGTGGAACTCAATCTAAGAAATGACTACTCTAAAAAACTCCACCTTCACCAAAGAAATTCACATACTTTGGCCTATGTTTTGATTGCTTTAAGCATTCTTGAAAACAATTAAATTTGGACCAGAACTGCAAGATTTTCTCTTCTTCAGCAGGAAAACTGATGTTTTCTGGGACTTGTTGAACCATTCTGTTGCTGTAAGAGAAATCAAATTTACTTGTCACAGATAAATCTAGGAATAGCAGCATAGTATATTAAAATGAGTGTATGTACCACTATCTCTATAAATGCATTAACATTAAAGGCTTTATTGGGTTAAATTCACATCCCACAAAGTGCACCCTTTGCAAGTGTACAGTTAGTGGTTAGTATATTTGCAAAATTGTGCAATCATCCCCACTATCTAATTTCAGAATATTTTCAATCCCTCCCACCCCAATCATTAGCAATCACATCCTCTCTTCCTTTAGCCCCTGGCAATCACGAATCTTCTTTCTGACTCTATAAAGATTTGCCTATTCTAGACGTTTCATATAAATGGTAAGATTTATATGAACCATCTGTATGTGGCCTATTGTTTCTGGCTTCATTTCCTTAGCATGTTTTCTTCCATGCAGTAACATTATTCATTCCTCTTTACTTTCTATAGCTGAATCACATCCCATTGTTTGGAAATGCCACATTTTGCTTATTCATCACTCCCTAGGCACTGGGATGGTTTCCACTTTTTGGCTCCTATGATGAACGCGTTATGAATATTCAGGTACAGTGTCCATGTGGACAAACATTTTCATGTCTCTTGGGTATATAGCTAAGAGTGGAATTTCTGGGTCATATGTTACTCTGTATGAACAGGGATGGCAACCTCTCCATATCCTCCATGACACTCCTTATTGTCTACCTTTGAATTACAGCTATTTTAGAGAGGATGAAGTAGTATGTAATTGCAGTTTTGATTTATATTTCCCTAATGACTAATGATGTTGGTATCTTTTTCGATGTGCTTAGTGGCCATTTGTGTAGCTTCTTTGGATAAATGCTTATTTATCCTTTGCTTTTTTTGTTGTTGTTGTACTGTGGTTTGAACTCATGGCCTCACACTTGCTAGGCAGGTACTCTCCCACTTGAGCCAAGCCCCCAGCCTTATCCTTTGCTGTTTTGTTAATTGGTTTGTCTTTTTTTGGAGTGGGGACAGTACTGAGGTTTGAACTCAGAGACTTGTGCATGCTAGGCAGGCACCCTACCACTTGAGCTACCCCCAGCCCTTTTTGGTTTTAGTTATTTTTCAAATAAGATCTCGCATTTTGCTAAGCAGGTTTGTACTACAATCCCATTTGTACTTCCCTTATTGCTAGAATGACAGGGACTTAATACTACATTCAGTTTTTTATTAGCCGAGATGGGGTCACTTGAACTTTTTTGCCTGGGTTGGCCTCAAAATTCAGTCTTCCGGATCTTTGCCTCCCAAGTAGCTAGGATTAAAGGCATGAGCCACTGTGCCTGGTTCTCTTCCTCCTCAATGCCTATTTATTCTTATTTAAAATTCTAAATGAGCTAGGGGTGTGGTTCAAGTGGTAGAGTACCAGCCTGTCAAGCACAAGGTCCTGAAGTCAAACCCCAACATTGCCAAAAAAAAAAAAAAATCTAAATAAGTTGTTGATCAGATTTGCAAGCTAACATCTGATTAGGGAACAGGATTACTAATAATGAGAAAACAAAGAACATGAAAAACCTTTAGTACTCAAAAATCACAACAGTCTGGTATAACTGTCTCTAGGAGAAAGAAGCCCCACATATTTCAACCTACTCTGAAAGCAATGAAAGCAAAACAGTATAAGCATAGCAATTGACTCAGGCTGTCAAAAACATTTGTGATAAGTAGTATCTTTCCTTTTATTCTCATTAATTTTTCAGATGCAAGAATATCTTAAAGTTCTTTTTTTAATAAGTTAAAAGGAAAACAAGAACAGGTGGGTCATTTAACTAACATAGCCATTTCCAATCAGAGTACACCATTGAACAATATTAAATAGAAGTTGTAAGGCATTTTGCCTCAACTGTCATTACAACTTCCAGCCTTTCAAAGATGGAAAGAAGTACTATTTTCTGCCTTACTGATTTATTAAGGGTCCGATTGGCTCAGCAGCTACCTTAATCAGAAGCCAACTTGAAATTATGCAGTTGTACAATAAGACTAATATTATTGTTCTTATTAAGGGGGTGGGAGGAGAGGGAGGGGGCAGGAGGTAGGGGGGAGAAATGACCCAAACAATGTATGCACATATGAATAAATGAATAAATAAAAAAAATTTACTGTTATAAAAGGTTAAAAAAAAAAGGCTAATAGGTCTTTAGATATCAACACACTCATTTCTGTGACTTCTAATCTGCTCTGTGGTGGCTCTTGTATATGGGAGCTCATTAGAGATATAGACTCACTATCCCCAGCCAGGACCCTGGAGTCAGAACCTGCATTTACCAAGATCCCTAGATTAGCATTAAGACCAAAGTTTGACCACTCTCATATGGTTCTGACAATTATTCACAATATCTAATCAAGCTTTGTCTCTTTTTGAGAAAATAAGGTTTCTGAGAACAGGGCACATGGCTTTCTTTCACTGAATTTTCTAGGGTGTCTCTGCCACTTTAAAAGATTAAGAATCCCCAGTACAATGTCAAATTCAAAGACCCAGTATTTGACTGTTTCAGGAAGAACCATGTACCAATGATCGGGCTATGGCAGCTGCTGAGGAGAAACAGCAGTCATGCATAAATCACAGGATTGCTCTAGCCCACTGTATCCACTGGACAGTCATACCTGAACAATAGTCTCCAGCAACCACAGGGCAAAGGGAGGGGCAGGTGAACATTTCCAGTTATGCACAAGGATGTCTCCCCCTTTTCTTCCGTCTTAATATATTCCAGGCCTTCTACCCTTCACCATTTCACAACTCCCTGGGCCACCTTTGCCTCAACTTCCAGTTCAGAAGTTCCTAGACTACACTCCTGAACCACCACTTGAGTACCTCAACCTACCTTGAAAAAGCATACTGAAACATTCTGGTTAAAAAAAATCTCAAGATCTTTCTTTCCTTCTTTCCTTCCTTCATTCCATCTCTCCATCCCTTCCTTTTTCACTCCCTCCCTCCCTTTTTTCCCTTGGTGTTGCTGGGAGTTGAACTCAGGGCTTTGTATTTGGTAGGCAGGCACTCTACCATTTGAGTCACTTTGCAGGCCGTAAAATCTCAGAATCTTGTTGAGACTGGTGTTTTACACCTATCATACCAGCACTCAGGAGGCTGAGGTAGGAAGGTTTCAGTAGTTTGAGCCCAGCTCAGGCTACATAGCAAGGTTGTCCCCAAAACAAGCAAACCTAAGGATCATAATTGCTACAACAGATTTCTCTTTTTTAACTCAGTTTCAGTGATTCCACTACTCTTCCCATTATCTATTATCTCGACACTTGAGAGTATCTTGATATTACCGAAATGATGACCTCATCCAATTACCTACTAACACATGGGCATTCTACCTCTAAGTCTGTTTCTCAGTTCCTTTCTCCTTTTGCATACCCAGTCTTCCTACCCTGTTACATTAATCTTTTTTTTTTTTTTTTTTTTTTGGTGGAACTGGTATTTGAACTTGGGGCTTTACACTTACAGAGCAGGTGCTCTACCAGTTGAGCCACACCTGCAATCCATTTTGCTCTGGTTATTTTGGAGAAGGGGTCTTGAGAACTATTTACCAGGGCTGACCTCAAACCTTGATCCTCCTGATCTCAGCCTCCCAAGTAGCTACACCCGGCCACATTAATCAAATTTAACCCCACAGGAGGCCCATCCCAAGCCTTTTCTCACTTTATTAACAGCTAACATGTGTGAATTCTGCACACAGATATTCATGTGAGAAAGTTGATGATACCAAGATGAAAGCTTTCCGGTCAGATCCAGACAAAATTGAGCTGGGGTTCTTTAGGGGGGAGTGAGCACATCTGAAGTTCTTTCTCAAGGATTTTCTAAATGCTCAAAAGAGGGGCTGGGGCCCTGGGCTCAATTCCCAGCACCTAGATAAATAAATATATCAGACAAGATGCTCTTGACAGAACACTTGCCCAGGAATGGTTCCTCCACCAAAGAGCTAACACCAATTTCTGCCTTGGGTCTCCAAGACCAGTGGATTCTGTATCCTAGTAGCTTACACAAATTTGTCCCTTTTTCTTTCTCTTTAAATAGTCCTCTTGCCTGGACCTCCTAAAACATGACCACAGTTTGCTATGACATGTATATTCCCACTGCAATGCTCTACTACTCCCAAAGAAATGTCATTATTCTTTGGAGGAGCTCCCTCTCATTGTTATTTAGGTTGGCACATGGAAGCATTATTTCTATAAACAATGGAAAACAATTTAAAGATAACTAAAGTAAACTCAATAAACTGAATACCACACAGCCAGTAAAAGTAATAAGTTGGTGAATATATAAAATATAGTTTCCCTGGGCTAGGATTGTAGGTCACTGATAGACTAGCATGAAGTCTGGCATTTGCAAAACCCTAGGTTGGATCTCCAGGAATGCCAAATACCAAGGCAACCAATCAACCAACCAAACAAAAACCGCTCAGAACAGGTGCTGGTGGCTCATACTTATAATCCTAGCTACTTGGGAGGCAGAGATAGGAGGATCTCAGTTTCAGTCTAGCCCAGGAAAATTGTTTGCAAGACCCTATCTCAAAAAATACCCAACACAATAACGGTTTGGCAGAGTGGTTCAGGTGAGAGTGCCTGCCTAGCAAGCATGAAACCCTGAGTTCAAAACTCAGTACCACTAAAAAAACAAAAACAAAAACAAAACCTCAGCATCCACAAGGAGATTAGGATAATTTACATGCATCCTCCTACATATTTAAATCATCTCTAATTACTTATAATACCAATACATGTTAAATGTTAATGTAAACAGTTGTTATACTGTATTAAGGAAATAGTCTATACATGTTCAGTACAGATGCAAACATCACAGACATAACTCATAGCACACCATCCCAGGTGCAGACAGCGTGTGTGTGTGTGTGTGTTTATGAGCATTGAAAAAGAAAACAGCAAATCCCAGATGTATCAATTTATATTATATGTGCCATATTATTTGTAAGAAATTTCTATTCATTTCCCTACCTCATTACAAAAGGAAGCCATAAATCCATAAGGCTGGAAGCAAAGTGCACCTCCCAGCTATTTCCCATACACACATTAAGCTGTAATACCATGGCTACTCATCTCCTGAGCAACCTAAGGGATGCTTCCAAATCCTGCAGTACTGCAGGTGTGGTTCTCTGCCCATCTTCAAGGCCCAAGCCCCAAGGTATCTCCTGACGAGCTTTCTCCTTCTCTCACCCGTAAATCCTACTGAAAAGCTGTCTTTCTCCTGTGTTCCCGGTGAACTGTGCACCTGGCCACTGTGTTATGAGACTGAATAAGCCCAGGGCAGGGAGGCCACCATAGCCTCTGGCCACTGTGTTATGAGACTGAATAAGCCCAGGGCAGGGAGGCCACCATAGCCCCTGTAGGCCCTAGGCTCCCAGCGATAAATGCGCATTCACGGAACCAGGCATGGAAAGGGGGCGCTTAAGGCTTCAGATTCAAACCTTGAATAGTCCTTAGCAATACCTGGACTTGGCAGTATCCTCGCCCACCTTCTGAATTTCTAACTCTCACAAACACGGTGCTCAGAGACCACCATGGTCCCAGGATGCAGCTGAGGAACTCTGCACATCACAGCCCTAGCCCAAGAAGTCAGGGCAGGATTCATGCTCGGCTGGGCTCTGCAGCGCTATATTACAGCTCTAGTTCTTCTCTTTGCAAATATATATGCACGCAAAGGTAGATATGCGTGCATGGTAGGCCCTGAAGAAGCATTTTTTTTAAAAAATCGTGTACAACCGCCTCGGGGTTGTAACGTGGGAGTGATCCTAGCCTCTGCGGGCAGTAACTGGGGATGGGGGACCGTGAGCAGGACCGGACACACCTGAAGGACCGGGCTTACCTGGAGAACCCCGTAAGTCAGGAAACCTAGCAGAGAGCCGAGGCCATGCAGCTGCGCCGGGCGTCTAGAGGTGATGCAACGCAGACAGCCCGCGGCGCAGGGGAAGAAGCACGCTGGCCAATCAACGCGCGCAGTCTAACACCCACGAACAACCCAGGTGGCAATTGGCTGCTCGGGCTCCGGCCACGCCCACTGTCGGATCCTGAATGGCAGTGCCTGCTAGGAATGCTGTTTTGGGAACCAAAGGAAAGGCTGTAGCAGTCTGGATGCCATCACGGGAGCGCGGCGGGAGCCGTGGATGCCGCGGCTGGGCTTCTTGTAGCCCCTGCAGCGGGTCTCTTGCCAAAGTTCCCGGCCTCTGGGCTGGTGGGGAGAGACTTACGTTTTTATCTTGTTTACATGAGTTAGTATTCCTCTAACCGGACATTGCAAATCTGTGCATTTCACTGTACCGTAAATCACATCCTATCTTGTTCGGGCGCCCGTGTCTCACGCCTGTAATTTTAGCGACTCAGGAGGCCGAGATCCGGAGGATAGAGGATCGCAGTTCGAAGGCAAATAGCCAACATACAAGGAGACTGGTGGAGTGGTTCAAGAGGTAGAGCGACTGCCTCGCAAGTGTGGGGCTCTGAGTTCAAACCCCAGTACCATCAAAATAAAATAAAACAAATGAAGTGAGGTTGATAATCTCTAACAGTGAAACTTAGAGCAGTGGCTTCCATAATTATACTGTGGCATCTGTGCAACTAACCTAGTAAGTACCTATGTACTTTTTTATTGTACTTTCTTTAAAATGCTTCCTGTAATGAAAAATAAAATGATTTGCTTATATATTACTACTGCTATGCGTCTGCCTGCTACCTTCCAGACCCGCTGCTTAAAAACAGAAGGGGGTCTGGCGCTTGGCACCAAAACCTATAAAGGAAATTTGACTTTGACACATCAAGAGCAGTTCTGTATGCATCTGCGTATTTCACCCATTATAGACAGAAAAAAAAATGATCTGGCCTAGAATAGAAAACACTTCCTTAGTAAGTTAAGAACATTTTGATAGTCTGATTGGCTTTTATTCAACAGTTACTGTATTGTATGCCCTACTAAGTGTCAAAGATTAGAGTAAGTAGACTTCACGTACTCCACCCCAAAGCGATTACTTTGCTCACTTGAGCATTAGTATTCATGAGTTGCATTATCTTTAGCTTTTTATTCGGAATGTGTTTGAAGATTTTGCATTCCTCAAGTTGCCACTGTGTTCCATTGATTTCTGCCACTTGTTCAGAGAACAGACTGGAGCAAGTCAGAAGGCGCCTGGACAGGTGTGCCTAGGGAAAACAGCCATGGGTGAGACAGACTGTGCAGACTATTTAAAAAGATTAAGGGCTGGTGGAGTGGCTCAAGTGATAGAGTGCCTGCCTTTACTAGGCCTAGCAAGTGTGAGGCCCTGAGTTCAAGCCCCAGTATCACCAAAAAACAAAAACAAACCATTTTCTGGGCACCAGTGGCTCATGCCTGTAATCCTAGCTACTCAGGAAGCAAGAGATCAGGAGGATCTCCGTTCAAAGCCAGCCCAGGAAAATAGTTCATGAGAACCTATCAAAAAAACCCCTATCACAATAAAGAAATGGTGGAGTGGCTCAAGGTTTAGGCCCTGAGTTCAAACCCCAATGCCACCAAAAAAAAAAAAAAGAAAAAGACTATCAGTACTGGGGTTTGAATTCAGGACCTCACACTTATTAGGCAGGTCCTCTACCACTTGAGCCATTCTGTTAGCCCTGTTTTTGTGCTGAGTATTTTTGAGACAGGGTCTCTTGAACAATTTGCCTGGGCTGTCCTCAAACACCGGTCCTCTTGATCTCTGCCCCTAGTAGGTAGGATTACAGGCGTGAGCATCTGGTGCCTGGCTAAGGCTATGTTCTTTGACCTGTAGAATACAGAAGTGACTGAACCTGCTTCTGGGCCCAGATCTTAGGAGATGGGCAGCATCCACTTCCTGCCTCTGGGAACACTTAGTTTTGGATTCTAGTTGCCATGCTTTTAGGAAGCCTATGGATAAACCTTGATTAGGTGGCCATCTAAGAACTAGATCCTTAATCCTCAGATGAACCAGCCCAATGACACCACATGGAGCAGAGATGAGTGTTAGGTCCCAGTCCATGAGGCTGGTGTGCCAGGTGTGAAAGATTTCACAGAAAATCAAGAATTGAAGCAGAAGCAAAGTTTTATTCCTTTTATAAGGGAGGAAAGGGGCTGATACTAAGAGGTGTCAGCCCAGAATGAAGTTAGGGCTGGGGTTTATAAGCACTTAAGATGCAGGAAAAGCTGGGTGCCAGTGACTCTTGCCTATAATTCTAGCTACTTAGGAGACAGAGATCAGGATGATCACTGTTTGAAGCCATCCTGGGCAAATAGTTCTTGAAACCATATCTTGAAAAAGTCTTTCCCAAAAAATGGCTGGTGGAGTGGCTCAATGTGTAGGCCCTGAATTCAAACCCCAGTACCACAATAAGGAATATACTGCTGATGTCTTTTTTTTTTCGGTTCAGCTAGCTGTTCTAGGAAGTGGCTGGGGTGGTCAGTGTTTTGTTTTGCCAGGGTGGTTGTTTATTAGCTTGTATAATCTTTTCTGTGGCATCGCGAGGTCAAATATGTTGTCAACAAGATGCAAGTGGAGTTCTGCGTGAGTTCAGAAAAAACAGAAAAGCTTTCTTGCCAGACAAAATGGAGTCCTTTACAAAATAGGATAGGTTAGGCTAATTGGGGTCTTAAATTTCCCCCTCAGACTTATTTGGGACCAGATCTTTGGGACCAATTTTTTTTTGGGGGGGCAGGAACGTACCCAGAGTAACTCCTACTCTAGGGGACTTGCAGGAGGAAGGTCCTTCTTCTGTAAAGTTTTCCTGCTGAGTAGAGTCATAGAGTTGTCTCTGAGAGGCTAGGAGGCCTCTCTGGGGTAAGTGCCACAATTGAATCATTTGAAAGGCCAGGTTGATTTTAAGAGTATGTAGGCTCTTTATTAATTAGATCGTATGGTTTTTTGGAGAAGAGTGACTAAGAAATGGATAATACAGGGTCAAAAAATGAGAAGACACACAATGGCAGCCAAAAAGTCCCAGAAAGGGAGTTACCCAAGAAAACCAGGCCAAGAAAACCAATTAAAAAATTCCATCCATAGTGGAGCCCTTTTTCTTTTAATTCATTGGTCCATTTTAACAGCACATTTAACTCAGTTTGCACAGGGGGCTGGTGGAATGATTCAAGTGGTAAAGCACCCGCCTAGCAATTATGAGCCCCGGAGTTCAAACTCCAGTACCACCAAACGAAAAAAAAAGGTTAGTTTGTACAATTCCAAACTGATTTACATAAAAGTAGCATTCTTCTTTTAGCATGGCTCACGTGCTTCCCTATGCAGCAGTTAGATCAAGAATGCTTCTATTTTGGAGGATAACCTCTGCTAGAGAGTCTAATTGAAATTGTTTCCTTCTAGTTTCTTCAATTATTCCTGTCATTTGTAAAGCTATTTCTTCAGATAAATGTTTAGCAGAGAGGGAAGAGAATAGACACCGGTAACTCCAATCCCCAGGGTATGAGGGAGGCCAAGACTATAAGGTGGTGATGGGTTCTCTTTTTGTTCTTCCAGGCAGATCATAGGCAGGGAGGGGAATTGGAGAGGGATGGATTTTGATGGCTGGCATGACAGATACTAGTGTGAAGGTGCCTACCCAATTGGGGCATGCAAAGGAAAGCTAAAGATCCACAAAGAAAATATAAATCTACAGATGGAGAGATGCAAAATGTAAGATAATGTTGATAGAAGCCTGGAGGGGGTCTTTAATTTGTGCAGGATAAAGGGTAGGTAGCAGATAGACCAAGTCCTGCAAGGGGGTTGAGGCACATTGACTGGCATGGGTGATTGATGATGCCATTAAATTTGTATTCTGAAGTTAAAAGTTGGCAATAGGAGGCTAGTGGAGTGGCTCAAGCAGTAGAGCACTTGCCTAACAAGTGTGAGGCCCTGAGTTCAAACTCCAGTTCCACCAAAAAAAAGTTGATGATAGGTATTATATCCCCATGCATAAGGTGGGGAGAACTGATTTATTTACTAAAATAAATTCTTGCTAAAACTTCTAAAAAGAGAGAAAGAGAAGAAGGGAAGAAAGAACCTTTATTTTTATGACAGGAAGCACTGTCCATGTTTTGATTAGGTAGATACCAAAAATTGGGGTACTTTAATGGGTAGTGAGTTAAATCAGGTGGAGGGCACATTGTGGTTTCTGTGTAAGACTGCTGTTGGAAGGTTGGAGGCAAAGTCCAATGACCTTGTTTAGGCAAGCTCCCACCAACTGGAGAGTTGGAAGTGTAACTTATAGCCTATTCCTCTGACAGAAGAATTTAGAGAAAGACTTTGATTATAGTCTTGAGTAGTGAGTGATCCCAACACTGAAAGGTCTCAGATACAAGATTGTACAGAAAAGGAAGGATGAGGTGGGATCTGCCACAAAATAAGATTAGCCTTTTCACAAATAATGCCTGGGTTTATAATTGGACATCTTGAAAGATGGGGCCCTGATATACATAGCATATATTTTATTTGAGGGAGTGAATAAAAAAAGGTGTTTATGTAAACATCTGAATAGGATTGGGGTAGAAATTCATCCCTTGGGGTGTGGCCTAATTGAGGGTGCACTGTCAGAGAGAGATTTGGCCACACTGTAGGAGGTGCTGGAAAAGCAGTGCATCCTGACTAAGTAATGTGTGTGCAAAGCCAGCACAGTCCTTATAGACAGAGGTATTGATAGCTAGAAATAGTGTTGCAGTATGATTTATAATTATGGAGTAAGGATGAAGAGGAGTTAGAATAAAAAGAGTTGGAGAAATTTTAATTTCTAGAAATAGTATGATTGTAGGTAAGGCCAATGTTGTGAACCATATTGTAGGCAATGCCACAAGGGATGTGACTCTTAGTATAAGACACCCAAAGGTAACAGTATTGCTTATGTAATACAGTAGAGAGGCTGGAGGTATGACCTAAGTGTTAGAGTGCCTGTCTAGCAAGCACAAAAGCATGAGCCAAAACCCCAGCATCA